ACAAAATAGGGTTTTGGTGGACGTCAATCAAAGTGTTTCCATGACGAGCCGTCACGACAAAATAGGGTTTTGGTGGACGTCAATCAAAGTGTTTCCATGACATTTGCCGTCGCGACAAAATAGGGTTTTGGTGGACGTCAATAAAAGTGTTTCCATGACATTTGCGTCAAAAAGTTTCTATATGTATGCACACCTGAACAAAAAACCAGGAGAGCAAAACAGCACGAATCGGTTCATTGTTTCTATCAGAAACCTTCACAAATGGTTGAAGAACGACACCTGTGACATAAAATACCAATACGTTAGAGTTCCTAAATCATAAATCGTAAATAAAATAAAGACAAATTGAGCTATTGCTGTTTGATTTCCAGGAGAAAGAGCAGATCTGATGATAAATAGAAAAAGCCAACAAGCTATGGATATTCTTACCAAAAAGTTTGTCTTTGGCAAGAGCATGTAGGATACGAGAGGCACCTGCAGAACACATAAAACAGTCAAGTAAAAACATATTCAAAAAGAGCATTATTCTTTATGATAATATTGTTTTACTGGATCAGTTGTTTGAGCATCGGACTATTGTGCGGGAGGTCGTGGTCATTACTAACCAATATCGAAGTGACGTAAAAGTACCACTGAGGACGTAAAGAAACCCTGGCAGTGACCACCCTCAGGGGCTACACACCTCATACTAACCACCTCTCTTTCACAACTCATTGTAAAGCGCATTTGAAAATATCCATATAGAAAAAATCGCTATATAAATCATAAATCATATATATATTGTCGTCTATGGAAGTAGAATCTATGAAGTGACCCACCGATAAGACAGCTCAAAGCTGCAGATAGAGTAGCAGCAAAGACACCGATGGCGATGATGACTGGAACCTTGTCAATTGGCTGGAACAATTTATCAAGTATTGACATCAGTAAACTTGACCTTAATATACTATATGAAACTTTGTATATATATGTTTGTATGTTGATATGAAATAGAGGAATGGGATGAATAAAAGGGAGAAAAATCTGATATGAATATGATATGAATAGAGGAATAAATAAATGGAAGGAATACAAAACGCATTTGAAGGTAAACTGAAGGTGAAATAGATAGCTCAGTGAATGAACTTAAAGGAAGGGAAAAAATGTATAGATGGATGAATGAATGAAATAGAGAGAGCATTGAACGAATGAATAAAGAAAAGAGGGAAGCATAAGAAAGTGAAGTAGGGAGGAAGGGAGAGAGGAAGGGAGGGAGGGAGGAAGGAAGGAAGGAAGGGAGGAGAGAAAGGGAGGGAGGGAGGAAGAGAGGACTTATATAA